AGTAGTTGAATAGCATCCCTCCATAATTCATGTCCACTGGGACATGTAAAAGTGACTTTATTTGGAAATAAGAGTCTGCTGGCATAGTTAGGTAAAGATGAATTTGTTTTGGAGTTTTGAGTGGGGGCCCACCTCCAGTGTAACCAAGGTCTCCATAAGGAAAGAGAAAAGGCCTGGCATGGTGGTGCATACCTGCAATCCAAATACTCAGTGGTCCAAGGCAGGAGGATCTCATTGAGTTCAAGGCCAGTCTGAACTGCAGAGCAAGACCCTGCCTAAAAGAAGAGAGAAACATGGGCATGCAAGTGAGGAGGCCCCATGACAAGGGAGGAAGCCACAATGTCTAGAGCCACCAGAAGCTGAAAGAGGCTGGAAGGATGGACCATCCCCTAGAATCTTCAGAGAGTCCAGCCCTGCTAACGTCTTGATTCAGGCTGTAGGAGAATGAATTTCAATTTTGGGATGTGGAGAGTTGAGACAAGGTCTTGCTATATAATGCAGGCTTGCCTTGAACTCATGGCAATCTTTCTGCCTCAGCCTTGTGAGGGCTGGGATTACAGGCATGTGACACTGTGCCCTGCCCAATTGCTTTTAAGTCACTTTGCAGCTCTGTGTTGCAGCATCTACAGGAAACACCATATGTGTACACTTTTCAGTAGCAGGAAAACACTTGATCTGACCTAGTGTTTTCTTTAAATAGATCTGCTCAAGGCTCAAAAGAAGATAAAAGTCCAACAAGTATATGTTTGAGAGAGAAAGAGAGAAAGAGAAGGAATCACTAAGAACCATTAATCATCAGGGAAATATAGATCAAAGCCACTATGAGAAACCATCCCAGTTAGAATGGCTGTAATAAAAAAGACAGTGACAAATGTATGTGAGGATGTGGAGAAAAGAAAACTTCCATACACTGTTGAGGTAAATGAATTAGTACAGCTATTACAAAGAACAGTATTGGGTATAGCTCAATGGCACAGCACTTGCCTGGCAAGCACAAGGTCCTGAGTTCAATTCCAATTAAAAAAAAAAAAAGGTGTGGAGAATCCTCAAAAACTAGAAACATAACTACCATATGATCCCTCAGTGCTGCTTCTAGGTATTTATGGGAAGGAATTGAAGTCAGTAGATCAAAGGGACATCTGCAGTCTCACATGTTTATTGTGACACTGTTCACAACAGCAAAGACATGGAGTCAGCCTAGGTGTCCATCAAATGATGAATGGATAAAGAAAGAGAAGTACATACATATAATCAAATAGTATTTTGCCTAAAGAATGAAATTCATTAATTTTTACTAGTATGAATAGAGGTGAACATTGTTAAAGTGAAATAATCAAGCCCTAAAAGACCAGCTCCACATGCTCTCACTTATATGTGGAAGCTAAGAAGTGGATCCCAAAGAAGTAGAGAATAGTGGTTACTAGAGTGTTGGAAGAATGTGGTACCAGGGATTGAACCTGAGTCCTGGTGCTTGCCAGGTAGGTGCTTAGACCACCAAGCTATCTCCTCGGCCCCAAAACAACCATGATTTAAAAAAAGAAAAATCGGGGCTAGAGAGATGGCTCAGTGGTCTAAAGCACCTACTTGAAACAAGCTTGGCAAAGCACAGGGACCGTGGTTCGATCCCCAGCACCACATGCCAGCCAGCCCCGCCCCCTGGTGGGCTGAGCTGGCCACACACACACACAATAAATAAATGTAATAAATAAAAATAAATAAATATTTAAAAATAAAAAAAAATAAAATAAAAAAAAATAAAAAAAGAAAAATCAGTTCTGTGGTCATACTGTATAATTCAGGATGCTTGATATCCAAATAAGATTATGGTAGTTAAACCTATTGCCCCACTGTAAAACTGGTGTGAAGGATCTCTTGAATGTTCAATAACTGAGATCAAGGCTCAAGAGATCAAAGCTAAAACTGATAACCGGGCTAAGACAACCAGTATTTTGCCCCTGGCCCTCCAAGATTAACAAGGACCCAAGACATCTTTCTACAAGATACTACATTTCCAGCGAGTCACCCAATCTCCTGACTGGGAAGATTGTCACCACCCCCCCACCCCCTCATCCCCGGCCAAATAGGCATCAACCAACATACAGTGTGCAAAAAGGAGGATCACCAAAGAAATGTATCCCATACTTCCACAGGAAACCACGTGGTCATCAAGACTGTGCCCCACCCTGACAGCTGACACTAAGGAGCTAAGAGGTTCTGTACATCATCCTCGAAGTAATTCCTAAGAAACCTTAACTACTGAACTTGATATATAGAGTAAAAGATTAATTTAGATAAATACAGTTCTTAAACACCAGCAAAAATGTATAACAAAATTATACATATATATATATATATATATATATATATTTTTTTTTTTTTTTTTTAAAGGAGGCTCAGCTACTACCCTGGCTGGCCCCTGCTGGGCGTCTCCAGCTACACCTGTTACTGACAACTACTGTTCATTGAGGCTAAAAAGCCCCAATGAGGGCCAGAGCAGCTCAGCAAGAGTCCTTAGCTCAAATTGTCTTTAAAAACTACAGAGCTTCCTTTCTTTGTATAGCTAAAAGTGGAGGGACTTTGAAACTTGTCATCTTCAGATAAATAATTCACATCAGGTGAAAAAGTATCTTACTTAAAAAATAGATATACTCCATGGACAGGCCTAGGGCCCAGCTAGTTACAGTCTCTATTCAAATCCCTTAAAAATATTGCCTCAATTTGGCTCCTTTCTCCAAGTTGTCTTTCTATTCTGATTTGTATGTTTGGACTATGAATTCTTTGTTAGTAAAATATTTCTTCTCACCTAGAGGTGTCAACTTCCAAATGATCTTACAGGTGGACAACAACAAACCTGCCAGCCTTCCTTTTACCGCAGTCCATTAAATCAACCGTCTTAAGAGAGCTTGTAACTGAAGAACTCCAGTATGGTATTGATCAAAGCCTCTGTTGTGGTGACTTTTCTCTCCTTGCTGAGACAAAATACCTGACCCCTAAATTAAAGATGAAAAGGTTTATTTAACTTGCAGTTTGTAGAGGTTTCAGCCCACAATCATCAGGCTTCAAGGCAGGGTGACATGACATGGGTGACAGTTCAAGGCAGCAGAAGACAGAGTAATAAGAACAAAAGAGGGAACAACCCCCTTTTCCTCCCTTATATTGTAAGCAGGCTACTCCCCCACTCTTCAGGGCAGGTGTGGCTCACATCTCCATATGCCTTTTCTCTTGCACACCAAGAGGTTTTCAACTGGCCCCCTACTGAGTCACTTGAACTTCAAAACTTCTCAAGTTGACACAATAAAAAACATCCTAGAGTCCTCTGCACCAGGACTTAGAATTGACGAGTTAAGCTTCTACACCTCTCAAATTGATAGAGTGTATCAACCATAACTGCCTCCTTAAATTAGCTCCCTGGAAAAAGTTTCTGATTGCTGTCTCCACTACACGGACCCCTTTCAGCCCAAAGCAGCTAGATTTAGTCTCAGTTCCGAGGAAAGAATAATACAAAATAACTAATTTCTAAGATGTAGCATTCACGATAAACATTATGTGAAAAAATTAAGATAGAGAATCTGAATTCTAACTGACCACTTTTTAAAGAAACTTTACACAGCCACTTCAGGGATAACCCACTCAGGACCCCTTCCCAGAAATCCAGGAGCTGGTTTTCCTCTTATTGCTAATAAAAGCTCTCCTAACCTGCTCCTTTGGTTCACGATTTCAGTTCCAAAGTTTGTGGAACTTGAGCCAGAGCCTAGTGCCAAGTACATATTCTAAAGTTGGTTACGTGGGGCATGCCTCTGAGCACACGGGGGCTGCTACTACTCTCAGGGAAGCTTCAGACTTCTTCGCACTATAAACAATATAGAACAGGAATACTTGCAAATGTCACTTAGAAGTTGTTTCAGAAGCAACCTCAGCTTCTAAAGAAATGCAGAGTCAAAGATCTACATGGTGCCTTTGAACTTGAAAGCGAGCAGCCTCAGGAGCTCCACCTGGGAGATAGGCTCCTCCAGCTAAATCAGATGCTTGTCTATCGGATGCCGCGTGAGGCTGGGGCCCCAGAGTAGGTGCAAGAAACCTTCCAGAAAAGCTCAGCAGGGCCGCTGCTGCCAGGTCCGGACTGCTGAGTTATCGCGGGACTGGGATGGGGGTGATGGGAAGCCACAAGGCAGGACACGAGCTAGAGCGTGGGAGCCCTGGTTTCCCCTGCTGCCCCGGGGCCACGTGATTTAGGGCACTGGAGGTCCTGGAGGTTCGAGGTCCAAAGTAGACTAAACTCGAACTGGGACTAAGTCAAGGCTCACAAACGTTTGGAGGCTCGGCCCCACAGCGGGAAACAGCTACCCAAACGCACCCGCGCCGCAAGCAGTTAAAGCGCCTCAGTCAAAGTACTACACGGACCCCGCCACGCGCAGAGCCAAAGCACACCGCGCCGGGCGGCGCACGCCCCTTTAAAGAGACGCACGGCGCGTCTCGCGCGGCTGACAGCCCCAGTACGATCATTTGCATACGACTTCCGGGCCCGGGAGAGGGGCGGTGGACCCCCGACGGCCGTTGATTGGACGCTGACCGCGGCGCCGAATCGGAGTTGCTTTGCGCCACAGTCGCCCAATCGCAACTCGCTTTGCTCGCGGAGGGCGGAGCCAGGCGGCTCCGCCAGTGGGAGGCAGCGTTGTTGGAGGACACGGCAGCGCAGCCCTGGAGCGAGTGGAGGGACGGCTGCCACTGCCGCAGGAGGCGCGAGGTGCGGGACGCGTGGTGCTCGCGGCTAACGGCGCCATGGGCGAGCGAGTGGGGAGGGGGCGGGGCAGGAGGGGAGGCTGTGAGGGCCGCCGGGGGTGCTGTCTGGCGCCTGATAGGCCGGGGGCGCGCCAGG